GGGGATGACAGGGGACTCCCTCCAGCCAGCGCAGTGAAGCATGTACCATACTTCACCAACTGTTGTCCCCCTGAAGGCACTGCTTAATGTAATGGTACTGTAATGTGTACCGGTAATGTGTACCTCGCTGTCCACTGTCTGATGTCCCCACTGCTGCACCTCTGGTACCACTGTCCCTAATAGCAAAGGAAGCCGGTGCTGTAGAAAGCAAGGCTGCGGTGGCGGAGGGAGCAGAGCCGCATTAGCCGATACTTCCTCTATAGCGCCAGTTACTGTGACAGGCAGAGTGATACCAGATAACTTTGGATTGTTGTACATTTTGTTGCACATTAAAAAAAAAAATAAGATATCTCCTGAAAATAAGACCTAGTGTGTTTTTTTGAGGGCAAAAAAAATATAAGACAGTGTCTTATTTTCGGGGAAACACGGTAGTTATTTAATTACAAGAAATTGCAAGAAATTAATTAAAATACATATTTTTTTCCCCTAGTATTCCCTTTTCAAATATTGCTCTTACAACATTATATTTTTGGGTGGAAGTGACAGTATTTTTATATACATTTCTAGTTAACCTAATTGTTCTAATGCAGTTAAAGTGTGAAAGAAAATAAAAACATATTTTTATATGCTATGCAAATTAATTGCTTGTGTATTATTCATGTTTTTGTTTTATGTGCCAAGATGGAGCATTCTAAAGTCTGACTTGGTGTAACAACTTTTAATCTTGGAATGCTTTAATATGTAAAATTACCTGTGAGTATATAAATATGGGTGAATCGGCTTTTGAAGATGCAATCCAGATCTGTCTTCCTTCACTATTTTATGAGTCGCTGACCAACATCATGTTGGTGTTGGGACACCTGAAGTGTGCATGCTTCTTGGAGTCAGTGGCTTAAGAAGTATGAATGGAAAGATGAGGATGATGGCCTCCAGCATTCACCTTTAGGAGCAGGCCAGGTCCTGTATTATATTGATGACTAATAAGTTCATGTATGCATGCATGCATGTATGTATTATGACAAAACAGTACATAAAGTGAAACTGATGGTTCTATCTATTGTAAAGCCGGTGCTATCACCAAAATAACTTGTTTTATGTTTGTCTTGTATTGTTTGCTGTTTTATTGTGTGCTTATTTCTGCTTCCTTTTTTTCCTTTTGCATATTGGTTTTTCTCTATGGATATACTACATTTGATGTAACAAAATAAACTCACTCTAAATATATTGTTTTAATTATGGATTTCATATGGACCAATCAAAATTCACATTTTTTTAAATATTAAAATATTTTTGTAGTGTATGCTTTATTTTAATTATATATTTTTAATATGACATACTAGAGAAGTAATCATAGTTATTGAATGTGAATATACATTAGATGCATTTACTATGTCCATTCTAAGAATGTACACAGGTACTGCAGTGCTTTTATACAAATTGCATATTGCTTTATGACTGTAATGCTTCTGTTACTCAGCATTACTACATGCAAATGCAAATTTACTCATGTTTAAATAAAATGTTTGTATATTTATCACTGTGTTATAATGTTATTTATATTTGGCTAACTTGGGTGGTGGTGATCACATTTTTCATATGCTAAGCTGTATCTACTGAGTAAAAAATTAAACTAAAACTAATAAAAGCTACAGAGCCAGCATGCCACACTTATACTGTTCATTCACTCAAAAGCTGCCAACCTACTTTGTTAAATAGGTTCTCTTTTAATGTATGCATTTTACCCTACAGACTACACTACAGGCAAGTACAGCAATACAATCTGGAATGCACATAGCCAGAAAATAAACAGGAATGTGTCTGTCAATGTCTGCATTCACTCATGATGGGTCTGAATGAAATCTGGTGTTAATCCGGGAACTCCAAAAGCTTGGTCTATAACAGGGGTAGGCAACCTTGGCTCTCCAGCCGTGCTGAAACTACAGATCCCGTCATGCTTCTGCCTCTGGGAGCCATGCCTGTGGCTTGCAATGCATTATGGGATTTGTAGTTTCAGCATAGCTGGAGAGCCAAGGTTGCCTAACCCTGGTCTTATAACATGTAACTCATTACTAACTGCAAGCTCTTACACCTTCTCAGTTAGTAAAAGAGGGAAGTGTTATTGCCCAATAACACTCATAAGCTGTGATTACTATGAATACATTCTTACCATTTACAATAGGCATCATTATTCAAGTATGGCAAAAATGGTTTTATGTCATTATTGGTTGGATTTAATTGTTTCGCTGGTATATGAATCTTCAAAAGATGTGTGTGTCTTGACTTTTTGGGCCCAACAGAGGAAAAGCTGGTCGCGCTCCAGATTCTGCTGGAATAGTTTAATGAAGCTTGTAGATCACCACTTGTGTCCCTCCCAACGTCCGTCCCCTATGATGCGGGCTTAATCGTAGCGATGAGGGCAGACCAGTGTAGGCTGTGCTTTATACCATTAGGTTCATAAAAGACAGAGCGTAAAATCTTTTTTAATAAGTAATAAAAAATGGTTACAGGTATTCACAAACTTTAAAATGTCATCATGCTTTAAGGTTTGTGAATACCTGTAACCATTTTTTACTTATTAAAAAATATATTACACATGGAGGCTCTCTATCTTATATGTACATGATGGGAACCCCAGAGTCTTTTGAGGAGCAACCCCCAAAGTTGTGTGAAGACTTAAGCTGGCCATACACCTTACAATTATCTGCAGATTTTCTGTGGTCAGATGGAAAAGGTGCAACAGATTCCTCCATCTACACTTAACTGTGTGGATGGAGTAATCTCCACCTGGGCCAATCTGTTGCACTTTTTCCATCTGACCACAGAAAATCTGCAGATAATTGTAAGGTGTATGGGCACCATTAGAAAGAACGTTTACTTCTGGAGGATTGTGTGACAACAACCATTAGCGCTAAGAGACAAACTTTTCTTTCATTAGGTTCATGTGCATGTACACTCCTCCGGCTCAGCTTCCCCCTGGTAAAAATTTTCTGACACGGATACTGCCTGAAGATTCTGAGCCAGAGCACTGGGCACCAAAGTAGGTTTAGCAGGTGTTCTCAAGTTCTTTATCAGTGCCCTAAAGGAACTGAAAGTGGGGGCCAACTCTTCCCTGACAGTATATAACAGGCAGACTCAGCCCTGCACACCCCTTTAATGCACTTCTGACATAGGAGGATTTTTCCAATCAGAGCCAAGCTTTGAGGATCAAACTGCACACTTCTGCTTAGGGACCACCTTGGCCTTAGAAATGTTAACCTGTAACACAGATCAAGGAGAAATTACCCCCTTAAAGTGCCCCCTCAACACCATAAGCCCAGCACCAAGGAGCCCCAGGTGGAGGAAAAATATAGTCAGAACTACAGGGAGGAAGCATGAATACATCCACCTACCTGAGCAGAGCTGGTGCCAGCAGGACCTGAATCTGTCTGTGTAGCTTGCAAAGGAGTCACAGGATCCATTTTGCGCAGAAAGCAGCTACCCCGCCGGCGGAATTTCAGCCAGGCCTGTAATTACGCCGTCTGCACTCAGCCAGGCACCTTCCCTCTGCGCCGGAAATGAGGCCTGGAATGCAAGAGCCCGGCGCCCGGAAATTGCGTCACCTGCATCGGATGTGACCTAATCGGTCATTCAGTCCGGCTGTGGAGACTCCCAGAACTGTCAGACCAGCGTCCCCTGACTAACGAGCCGCACGGGCTGGAAGTTCAGCGCATGTCCCGGTGCTGGCCCTCCCTGGTCACTGAAGAGGAAAAGGGGAGCCAGTGGGAATCCCCCTACCACCTGAGGAATGCACCAGCGGCCGTAAAAGATATTTGACCCTACCACCATAGCAGGTTTTTTTTAAGGCCCTAAAACAGAAAAGCCTGGAAGGGGGGGGGGGTACCCCATACCTCAGAGGGGCTCCCTCACCATTCCGGTGACGTGCCCTCCCTGATTGAGGAAACACAAAAAACTGAGGAGCTAAAGGAAAGCTGGCCATACACTTCTATTTTTTTTTTCATTCAACGTACAGGTTGAATGTAAAAAATAGAACAGATTCCACGATCAATGCAGCTGCTGTCAGAATACAGGAATGGTGCTTGGAGCCAATTGGCTGCAAGCACCAGTTTATTCTAAGCCTTTTCAACCGGCTCCTTCGATCAGCTGATCGAAGGATTCCGGCTGGAAAGGTGCCGACAGCAGCACCCACTGTTTGGATTTCTGCCAGTTAGTAAAGAACCAGCTGAAATTTGCATAGTGTATGGTCAGCTTTACTATTGACTTAGTCAAGCTATTACAGGAATTTCACAATTAACTTTGCTCTCTTTACGCAGAAGAGACACCATTTTCAGGATCTAAAAGGCAGAATCTTTTAACATTTCTTTACCAATTATTCCGGCACAGGATATGCTAGCACAGATCATTGATCCACTAGAAATAAAAAGAGGCAATCAAATCTTTCATTGGGTAAGAAAACTGGACTAGATTATTCAATATTGTTTGGGGGGGGGGACCCAAAACTTACTGACCCCTCACAACTGTTTAATTCTTTGCAACAGATAACATCCCTCTCAAGTAACGTGCCGACAGAGTCCATAGTCGTTACCAAAACCCAATACAGATGCACATGTCTGCATTCCCTTGGACTGAAACATTGATTGTAGTTGGTAAGCTGGGGTGGCATCCTGGATGGAACGTATTCTTTACTCGCTTTGCTTTCTCTTGCCTTTTCTTCCCCTTTGCTGTTCTTGGTTGTAGATGCACTTTAAAGAAGCTGCTTTAGGCTATTTTGCTAGGTTTCATTTATGTATCCCTTTCCAGTGTCCGAGTTCACTATTATAGATTCCCTCAAAAGTTAATTAAAAATGAATGCATAGAGCCCCACAGTTCATATAGAGCCCTATTACAAATGAGAAACTTATGACATGGGAGACTTACTGAAGATTTTGAACAGTTTTATTCCAAAAAAACAAAAAAAACCCAGGGAAAGTGAATTGTTAGTAAACCCGATTATGGACAAGTATAAGGTCAACAGTCATTTATTAAAAGTTAACAAAATCTGTACAAAATGATATTTCTCATTCTTGTGAAACAAGTTTTCATGGTAAAGTTATCGCCTTGGTCCTCCTCTTCCTCTGCCACGTCCTCTTCCCCGTCCACGTCCTCTTCCTCTGCCACGGCCTGCAACTAATGGTGAAACCTAATTAGGCATTTGGTCCAAATGGCAAGGCTGACAAAGACCCTCAAGTTTACAATATCTGTCACCTGGAAAATACTTAAGGTGGCTATTTAGAGAAGCTTTTGTTTTTTGATATATCAGCTAAATTTAAGTAATTCTATTACTCTTAAAACAGAACTCTAGTTAGAAAGGGCGAGACACACAGATGAATGCAAATATGTATTTATCAATAATCATTAAATTAATATATTTTAAATGCAATTAGTTTAACCACCTCCCGCCTGTTCACTTGTAGTAGGTGCGGGTGTACACGAGCTGCCTTTGATCTCCTCTCTGGTCCCTGAATGCAGGAAGTGATGTATATTACAGATCTCTGCTTCATCAGCTTCTCTGGGGTCCATAGGAGACATAACAGGTCCCCTTTATGGAGACATCAGGGGTCTCTAAGACTGCTAATGTAAATTAGCTATCACATAGGGGATTTCTTAGCCCCCTATGTGATAGTCGAGTGTAAAAAAAATGGTAGTTTTCTGCGATTTTGCGGCCGCGCGCAATTTTAAGGCTTGACATGTTTGGTGTCTATTTACCCGACGTGACCACTTTTGTATTTAACCAAAAAGTTGGGGTGATAACGGTTTCATAACATTTCAAAGGGAAACAGTTTTTTCCCCCAAAATTTAGGGTACTTTTTTTGTTATGTAATAAAAAAAAATAAAACCCCCAGTGGTGATTAAATACCACCAAAAGAAAGCTCTATCTGTCCCCAAACAATGGTATAAAATTAATTTCAGTACAGCGTTGTATGACGGGATAAATGTCAGTCAAAGTACCGCAGCGCTGAATACTGAAAAATGGCCTGGCCAGGAAGGGTCACCCCGGCCTTTAAGTGGTTAAAGAAAAGTTTTCTTAAACCATACGGCAGGGCTACCCCCACACAGCAAGGGTTAAGTGCTCGTTTTGATCGAGGTGCTAAAATGAAGGTATGCTCAGCCAAACCTCACAGCTAGCTGGCTATTAGACTGGTCCTTCCAGCATCTCTCCTCCTCCGCTGCAGCAGTCTAAGGTCCCGCGAGTCATCACATGTATAGGACACGAGGAAGCTGACTGATATACCATCGCTGGAGCAGGGGGAAACAGGCTGAAGAGAGCACTTAACAGCCAGCCGGCTCTGGCGAGTATAACTTATCAGTCTGCTGTTGCTCTTTCACTTCCAAGTCAGCAGGCTGGGGGTGGACTTGACACCACAGTATTCCCTAACTGTGTAAGTGACGTTATCCAGCTCACTATGCTACTCCCTTATATGCATTTCATTTGTGCATTTAGCCATTTGCCCAAAGTTCAGCTTAAGCCCTCATGCACACTGAACGTTTTGTAGAGCTTTTTCTGTTAAACAAAAAAAGCTGCGTTCATAACTGAACGGTTTGACGCTTGTAGGAAAACGCCCATCGCTTGAAGAACGTAGATGAGCTTTTTGACCGATTCTGCACTTCTTAGCCCCATAGACTTTAATGGAAATGCACATAAAACGTGCATTTGCTGTTTTTTGCACATAAAACATGTTTTCCCATTCACATCAATGTATCAAGATCTCTCACAAAAATGCACGACTATATACTTGCAAAAACGTGCTACACAAAACAGACGGAGACGCTGTTGCTCAGGTGTGAATGCGGGCAAAAGGCTTAAAAAATGTGTTTGTATTTTAAAGCATTATTTATTTCTTGCTTTTCAGTGCTTTTGCTGCCGATTATCAGCAGATCAGAGATTAACGGCATGCCTAATAAACAGCTGGAGAACCCCAAAGTATATGCAATAGCAAGAAATATGGTTATGACAAGCATGTAAAGATGTGAACAGCTTTAAAATGAATGTCAGGTAAAATGAAGAACTTCCCACCTACTGACTAAAATGCACTATATTTTCACACAAGGTATCACACAATGCACAAGTACAGCCCTTATAAGAACAGATAGTAAGAAATGCAGAACTTAACTCCCATATTAAATTCTCTTAGTTTCCTAGAATCTCAAATACCTTAAATTACAGCTGCCAGGCAGAATTGTAAAGTAAAAGAAAACAAATAATGAGCAAAACCAATACTTACCAGCTTCTCTTTTCTTGGACTTGACTTTTGGTTCAACGTCAACAAGCAAGGTATCAAGGGGCAAACTGTCTGGTAGAATAAAGTATCGGATGTTATTGCCCCGTATACTCAGAGTCTCCAGCTGGACAGGCTCTCTGTTCTTTACAGTCATTTTGACAGCTTTCAAGTGTGTATTCATGCTTACATCCACCCCTGGAAACAGAACATAAAAAGTCACACGATTGTAGAAAAGATACAAAGTACCCACAAGGCTTTATACAACACTAGAAACTGTTTTGTGAATGAGTTCTTAGGGGCCACTTTTGGATTAGGGTTCACTCACATTTGCCACTAGTTGTTGTGCTCTGTATGCAGAGAAAAAAAAAAATCTATCAGGCTAAATGCTGTGTTTATGCTTCTAGATGTGTTAAATGACACATGTTGACATGTATACCAAATCCTAGCATCGAATCACTTAACATGGGTTTAGAAGTTCAAATCAATTCCTGGACGCACCCAACTTCTATTGTTTCTAAACGCAGCTAAACTGACTGCAGATAAAAGCATCTAAAACGGACCCTTGGAAATCATTAAAAGCATAAAAATGCATTTAGAAACCATTTTAAACGCATATAAAACTCATGTAATCGTACCAAGTGTGAATGCAGTAGAGCTGCAACAGTTAGCCGACGAATCGACAATCGTTGATTTTAATCGATCAGTGAGCTTCCCGACACGCCGCTGCCCACCGACAACCAACAACGCCGCTGCCCGCCGACAATCATTCCGTCATTCAAAGTAAGTCGAGATCGGCCGGGAGCTTTTTAGCGTTTCATAGTTACATAGTATTTGAGGTTGAATAAAGACTGCAGAACATTAGCAGCTAGAGGAACAACAAATCCCAGCAATAGTACATAAAACACCCGGTATACACCCCGTATAATATCCACTGACCAGTTATAGAGGACTACAAATCCCAGCAATAATACATTATATACAGCGCTATGCAGCTACAAAGGACTACAAATCCCAGCAATAGTATATTATAGTATAATGTACTATTGCTGCATTCCTCTATAGCTGCTGGTATTCTGTACTGCGCCGCTGTATAATGTACTATATTGCACACTTTTTTTTTTTTTTTTACTTCCACCGCTCCAAGCTTGCTCCTGTGATGGACTACAATCGCAATACAAGCTAGTAGTCCATCAATGGAGCCTTTTTTTATCCGATTAACCGAACTTAATAAATCGGCTAACTAATCGATTATGAAAATAATCGTTAGCTGCAGCCCTAGAATGCAGCGTTATTTTTCATATCTCTGGAAAGTGGAATGTGCACATCACTCTAGGGCTGTGTGTTGTGTTTGATATTTTGGGAGCGAGCTTGGAGCGGTGGCTACTTTACAGCACAGACACACACACACACAGGGACAATGGGGAACAAAAGGACCAACCCTCCAGAAGGAAGGACAGTGTCAGCATGAATTCAGAGATGGTTTGAGGATCTACAACTGAGTGATACACAAATGAGATACATTTTTGTTAGTTAAAAGGAGAACTATGAGGTGAGTGAAAAATCACTCATCCTCATAGTTCGAGCCGACGTGCGACAATGAAACTGTCACACGTTGGCGCAATGGATCGGGAAGTCAGCAAACATATACGGCCACTTGCTCACTTCTCAATCATCTCCTTGCAGAGAGCAGTGATCGTCAGTCACGGCTCCCTGCAGGGATTCCCCCCTCCCTTCTCAGATCCTCCAGCGCTGAGTGGAGGAACGGACGAGGGAGGGTACAGCTGGCTCTGCCTCTAGATAGGCAGAGCCAGCTGTCACTAATGCAGCTTGGTGGATCTTTACAGCATTGTCGGGATCCGCCCCAGCTGCGGCGATATCAGGCAGGACCTTGCAGTCAGCGTCATGCAAGTGAACTGTCCTGGACTGGGAAAATGGAAAACCTGGTCTACTAGTGTATGGCCGCGACCTGACCGGTAGCCATCTTTGGTGGAAAGTTGTGGCTGAGGAGTGCTGCGTGTCTGTTTTGGAGCTTGCGTTTTTGTTTTTCCATAGTAACATGACAGGCTGGATTGACAAGAAATTTTGTGAGCCTGGTTCAGCGGCTTATATAACATATAAAGATAATAGGCTAAAGGCCAACAGACTGCCAAAGAGATCTATCCAGAAGAATTAGGACTGAAATATGTTCAACACAATGCTTATGAAAAGCCAGTCCATGTTCCTGCTTCCTGGAGTGGAGGTTGGACATCCAGTGTTGTGGTCTGTGCCCGGTCCCCTCATGATAAAGTCATTACACTGCGCACCTAACCAACAACCTTCCAACTCTGCTGTAGGAAGAGAAAAAGTCTGGACCCAGTGCATCATGTGACCACAGATTTAGGTGTGTTTGGGGTCTGCCCAAAAGAACAGCTATCGTATTAGCTAAGCATTAACAAATGGGAGGGGGGTCAGTAACCATTATCAGGGGCTTGGGTGATCTTCAGGTGCCCATACACTAGTAGATTTGCGGTGGGAAATGTTGGTTTCTGCCACAACCCTCGTTCGATCATAGCTCGAATACCCCAGCAAGCATTGTCAAATGTCGGTTTCAGAAATCGTTAGTTAGCCATACTAACCAACAAATTTTAGATGGACGGAAATAATTTCCTTTTGCGCACGTTCTGTGTTCTTGCTACAATTTTTGACAAACTGAAACCTCACTGGATTCATTGATTTTTTTGGTCAGAGGAACATTTTCCAACATGACCGATGGAAAAATGTAGATCACAATATAAAAACGAAAATTGCTGATGTACCCTCAACTGTAGGATTTTCGTTTGAAAGATCACTCGTGTACGATTTCTGAACGAAAAATGTATAATGTATGGTCACCTTTAGTTTGCATCAAGCACCCACACATGACTACTGGAGATCTTTCAGTCTGTGCGTGTATACAGCACAGGTTTTGTTTCTGGCAGTGGCAAACAATCTCTGAAGGAAGGAGGGAGCTGCCATTTTTTTGTGGGCAAAACTATCCTTAGCGCGAGGGGGGTACAAATGGGACAAAGGAAAGATGGAGATCAGGCACTGTTAGTGCTGAGCCATTGAAAAACAGTCAGAACTTCTTAGACTGCAAGTGGAAGGCTGATATAAAACGAATGCAACTGTACTGCGCATGCTTTGGGTGCAAATGTCAGTCCTACCTGTGATAGTTCCGTGCACCTGAGTGCCATTCTTCAACTCCACTGTTACCGTCTCATGACTCAGTTTCATCAGGAACCTGTAATACAAACGAATATAATCAACTACGTCTATCAGGCGATGCACAGTTCCCCCACCCCATCAGCCATATTCCACGTCCCCGCCGAGATACTGCAACAAGCGCTAAATACAGATCTCACTTCCCGCCACACTCAATCCACGTTCATCCTCCTTCATCGCTCACATACCTGACCAGCTTCATGACGGCTCACAACGAACACACCGCAACCTCCTTAAAACAACACGAAATAGATTCACTCGTTTATTGATACAATTATAATTTAAGTCAAAAGCCGACGTTCAAAAAACGGAAACACACAGCGGAAGCCGGTGCTTCACCGGAAGTTAAAGTAGGTTTAGGCGGAAGTTGGGTTTGCATCGCTAGAGGTACGGTCTCAAGTAAACGGGTCTCCATTTCTTGTGTGGCGGCCATGATTGTGTAGACGTGCCGACTTGGAACGTATGTCGGAAGCCCCTATGTTTGAAGAGAAACGTAACATAAACATGGCTGAGGTTGTTTAGAGTTCCTGTAACTTGAGCAAAACATATTCCACAAGCGTTAAAAAAACCCTTTGGATCTCCACTTAAATCCATGTTTTCTAGATAGAGTGGAACTAAAAACATTTCAAGTCGGAGGGCACTTTATTGTGGAAGAACCATGTTACATCTCTTCTGCGATAACACAAACTTACCTGCCTGTGCATAATCTTTAGAATGTACACACCGAGCTTTAACGCTGCATGGAAATGATGCTGATGTTTCCATGCAGCGTTAAAGCAGGGAGTAGAGCAACTTAAACTCAATTCACTCTGGGCCTCTAGACAAATGTTCTTCGGCCATGGGGGCCGCTTGCCAAATTTCATACTTCAAAAAAAAAATGTACGGTACCAGTGTTAATGTCTGTGTGTGTGTATGTGTTTGTATGGTCAGTATATGTGTTTGTGATGGTTTCTTTGTATGCAACGTCAGTATATTTTTTGTGATGCTTTGTGTGTATTGTCAGGATTTCTGTGAGTGATGTGGGCATGTGTGTATCATATCAGTATGTACTGTATATGTGTGTGCAGTGTCAGTATATGTATGTGTGTGTGTGTGTTTTTTCCCCACAGGTTATAATTGTAATCATAGTGGACCAACAGATTCACACATTTTATCAGGGATCTCAAGTCTCCCTGATGTTCAGGGAGTCTCCCTCTATTAGATAGCGTCTCCCTGACGTCCACGAGAGAGGCATTTTCTCCCTGAAAGGGTTACTCTGAGTAAACCTTTCCGGTAAGATAAAAAACCTTTCCGGTAAGATATCAGTGGGTAAGGTTTCAGAGT